ACTACTCACGCGTTTAATTTTCGAGGTCCATCTTTAATTACTTTTTGAATGCACATCGTCTTATACAGCTCGACGTTCGACTTCTTGCTTCTATAGTTGTCAACGATAACAAGCTAAGTTGGCTTATGCCGAAGCTTTGTTTGCACATATGGGTTTTCCATATCATTGTCCTCACACATTCTGGTCCGTTTGTCCTCATGGAAGTGTAAGTGATATGGCAACTGAATCAACCACGCTTCACCGTTTTGAATATGCTTCATTAAGCGAATTGGCGTGAACTGAATTATCATTTAAGGTCACATCGCCCAGCACGCAGTGTAAGTCACCTGATCTCTTCGTTCTTGCATCGAATATAGTCGGCACCACGCTAACATGATCGCTCAGCGTCCTGAAGATGACCTTCGACCTTAGGTGAAATCGCATCATGTACGTGTTGTCGGGTGGATCAACTGCAACTGGGGCATATGTACAACTCATATGCTTTAAAGTCGGATTTCAAGTACAAGCCGCTATCACTATCTGATGAGTCCAAAGGAGAGCGAAACTGGTTATGAGGCGGCAATGTTGGAAGGATCAACACCGAAACACCCCCAATTTAGATACGGTCTTTGTGATGGGAATGACCGAGGTCTACTTCATAGTGAACCGATGTCACAGCTGAGATTGCGTGCCACAATCCAACCAGACGGCAGGTACTCCAAATCCAACTTTAAATTCCTCACCGCCTTGTCGAGCGTTGCTCACGGATCTTCGAGGCATAGTGATCAAGGCGCCAGCACTGAATCACTGGGTCCCGAGTTCCACTTCAACTCAAACTATATCTGATGAGTTCAAACGAGGGCGAAACCAGTTACGGGGTGTCTGTGTTGGAAGAAGCAACACCAGAAGCGCCCATCCACTTCTTGCGCAACATTGCTGGTACGCACAACATGCACTGCATATCGACCCGATCTACATTGCAGGTGTCGTTGGCATCACTCTCTTGCATTACCAGTCGCGATAAGTCGGGCCGCTCACAAACTATATGATAGTCGTTCGCGCTCGTCCACGCAATCCGTTGAGGCCCTCGCCTACTAATTCACTTTATAGATCAAATTCCTGAGCCAAGTGTTCATACTGAAAGGCTCTACTCGGAACCATTAAATATGTTCCCCAGAGGTCCGCATGCAGTATTCGGAAAACGCTGCTCAGCCAGAAATGGATGGCAACACGGATTATCCTAAATGATCGTGGCTTTTATATCATTAATGGTGACCTCTAGGTCGATGGAGAGATAGAATATGACGCAACCAAATGACCGCTCGTTCCATAGTTTCGCCAGTCATCCATGATGTCGGCAGCTATTCATTTACTGACGGTGTAGTATGTCTCCGAGTAGCGGACCATCAAAACTGATACTTGAGCGCTTGTTATAGGACAACCTGCGTACCTTACGGTAACAACGGGACTCAAATGATTAGAGGAACTTTTTGAAACCTAGAGTAGTTCAGGCAGCGATGAACTGCAGGGAATCTCAGTGGACGATCGTTCTGTCCTTTCGAGATTCGTTAGCTTTAGTTATCTCTTCCGCATGTAGGTCGTGCACTTTCTTGATATCCAAAACCATGCAATTCAGTTAATAACATTATCTGGGACGTAATCTTACACACAAAACAAATAAGTTATTATCTAATGCTACGAGATTTCATTAAAACATATGTATTGCCTATGATAATACCATTTAGTTTATTCCACCCCTCGCTGATTGGGTCGAGTTGATCAGTGAGGGATTTAATAATACAATCCAACTTCCTTTCATTAAGTCGCGACCAGCACTATGGTACTACACCACTATTTACAAAAAAACTACACCAAAAGGGTTGAATTGCTTTAGGACATATCCAGCCCTCGTAAGCCAAAGTGATCCTGGGGCGTTCGTTAAGTGTGAGGAACGATATCGCTACCTGCCGTCTGACTCAGTCTGACTTTAAAGGCCGAAGAACATCTTAACTCTTACCTGGTGCACCATACATTTGCGATTCTTCTCGACAAGCACATCTTCCGTACTGCGAAATGACAACCTAACTCGCTCGCCATGGGAAATACCTACTGCCCTTACAGAAAGCCAATCAAAATATTTGCTTAGATGTTTTCCTCATTGGAGGTAGGCCCATCTATGGAATAAACTACAACTGCAACTAAGGATAAGCGAAAACTCGTTTAGGTTTTGAACCTCATCCATAAACCTCTGTTTTCATATCAAATGCGATAAAACTTTCGGCCTACACCAATCTCCGACTGCACTCATGGAATCCCGACCGAACAACGTATGACACAACTGGCCATCTAATACGGTCATTAGTACACATTCCACAAAATTTGTTCACGTGATCCGTATTGATTTCAAACTCCAATAATGAAACGCCGATAGATCTCGCTGTTCAGGAGTTCGGAGACCATATCAGATGATGTAAATGTATTAGTGAAAAGGCAGCATAATCGAACCCAGATTTGTACTATGACTATGCTTCAAATAAGATCATGTTTCTTGTGTCAGGAAATATGCCAACTGACATTTTGCTCAATATGTTCCGGACACCGTGTATCCCCTACTAGTCCCGTTTAACATTTTGACTACTGAGAGCCGTTCCACGCCCTGGAATCTCAGTACTGTTCAGCTTAGGTGCTCACAGCACTAGTATTCTAATACCGTCGAACTCATCATGTAGTCCTTAGGGATGAAACCCACACAAGAAGTAGTCCAGTTCGCCCCACTAACTCCTTCCTAGAGGCTGTTGTGCATTTGTGACTTTTCAACTCTCATCGTTGTTGAAGTGCGTCGTTTGAGAGGGGTATTCAGATTTTTAATATCATCCACGTTCAATCTGTCATTATGCTTAACAAGCGGTGGGCGCATTTGCCGAAACACCATGTTATTCCGTCTACACCCGTTGTCGCAGTGCTACAACAGGGGATGAGCGAGAACCCCGCGAGATTTTGCCACGCCCCAAACAGGTAGGTAGTAATCTATTCCGGACTTCACTCAAATGTGCCGGGAGCACGGAACAAATGTTGTCTACCATCTGGAAGACGAGTATTGATCAGCATTTTCTGTTTTTCTAAGCGCACTGCCACGGAAACTATTAGTTTGGTCAGCGTAACCAAGGTGTTGACGTTTTGCACAAATGGGGCTTTCATGTCTTGTCTACTGCATTGCTTAATCCCATGTTAACTTATGTTGACGCACATGAGGTCCAAAACGAATTCGGTACAGGTGGGCGCTGCAAAAAACCAAGCAGTGTCCAGAAAAGTACGCGGGTGGTGGTTGATTCACCGTCTTTTCCTGGCTCAGTGTAATCTGGAACGGTTACCTCACGGTGATAACGGAACCTGATGAAACAAAGTGATCATCCTCGTGTGCAGCGCAATCTGGCAATCTAAGGGCAGCTTGTCAAAACCAACTCGCTAATTTATCACAAGCATTTTGGATACTGTAGTTTCGAACAAGTATCGGATTTCATTGTAAATTCGAGCAGCTTAGGTAGGCATCACACTCAGATGGATATATTAATTCTGCCCTTTCGTGATTGATCAAAAGTCGAAGGGGCAATTTGATTCGTGAAGCGCTTTACTGTGAAGAAATTCGGGAACAAATTATCGTCGGATTCAGCAAGATTGCCTTCCTATGGTCAGTCTCGTTCCGGATGCTCATAACTATCGTCCCGTTCTTACAAGCATCATCGAGTATTTTGGAGCTCACACTATTTGGGGAAGTAAACCTGACATAGACCTATATCCAGCTTAGACTGGAATTTGTCCACTAGGATTTTAGCGAATTCGGGGTTCTGTAATGCTTTGCTTCCTGCCTGATGCTCCGTCCAACACAACCAAGGGAAACAAGAGACAAGACTTACAAGACCGGTGTTTAATGAGGACAAAGAATAGTTATATGTATAGGTCACACACACACCCCTCGCTTCTACCTTCCAATCCACGTCTTGAAACCATGTTTCGGCTTGCATCAGTTGCGGCAACCTAAAGCAGCGATCGAAAATAATCAATGATGCGGTTTCACAGTCTAATGCCAACTTGTCATAATTGGAGATGCGTTTTATAAAAGTCTGTTTTCGTTGTGACCTCATCACTTATCGATCACCCTAAGCTTCACTTGTACTGTGTGTACTGTATGTATAAGCTTCATCAACCATGAATGTTCAAGGGAATTTCATTTAAAATGAGTTTTCCAATCAGATCCTGGATAACATTTTCCACCTACTAAAGTACGGTAACTGTTTACTGCAGCCCTTGTTTATGTCCAAGCAGAAATGTTGAACCGCTTGTCACGTGGATTCTATATTTGATTTCGTGCAGGGATGGAAAACCAAATCGCTCTTATTAGTGTTTGCATGTGCATTCTAATGTCTTCTCAAATGGACTCTCACTGGTGGCCACGTAACAGCCTACTCACTCGGAATGTTGCTTATTATTTACACTACTACCTAATTAAGTAGTAGCCAAGTTACTATATAAGGTGCCAATGGATGACACATTTGCGATTAAATTGTTCCCTTACGTTTGAGAACTTCAGCTTGTTATTCTTCCAGCAATTCGTCGATCGTAGTAAGCATGCATTCCAGCTTCGTGTGTATGCAATGGAAGTCGGAATCACTATTCAGTTCGGATCACTCGGTACTCCGCTCTCACCCGGCGGAAACCCCACCTAATGAGACCTGATGTAGCTTTATTACCAATTGACTTGTACGCTCGACACAGCTAGTTTGAAAAGAATAGTCTAATGAAAAGCGCCGGTACTAACCTGTTTTTTGCTTTTTACTTTGGCTAAATACTTTTTAAGTTTCGGATTTTGACATGAAGTCTCGTTTCGGTTACCTGAAGCTCTTCTAACGTACGCCATGACTTAATCTGTTCGATATGCGCCTGTGCCCTTGCATACTTTTGAACGCTAGAATTACACTTGGCAACCTCTAACGTACCCCTTCTTTCTCTTTTCTGCTCTGCAGTCAATTACTGAAAGTCCTATTACCCCTAGACGTAAATTGCTTCAAGAAGCCTTGCCGGATCTCATGGCCGCAATACCGGACGCAGCTGAAATCCATATCCAAGTGTCTGAAATGAATGACTTGTCTGGAAAACCGACCACACCTGAACGGGTGAGTTGATCCTCCAATTGGCTTCTTCACCAGTAAAGCGAAGCTAGGCAGTGATTGACGTTGGTAATTAACTGGCGTTTTGGGTCCATACTTTCGCCACACTCGAATCAGCTTCAGGGTTCATTCTGAATATCTCTATCCTCACATTTTACTGTCTCGGAACGCGTACTTGTATTTGGAACGAAACGTATCACTTCAGTTCAAGTCAGGTATTACTTTAAACTAACTTGTATCAGTCTGAGTAATGTGATCACACCTAAAACCAAGACAGCTCTAGTGCACATCGCTTTAAACCCTGTTAAATTCGTCCTGGGTCGCATTATCAAAGCCGGAACCGGAGAGTGGGTAGTAATGGAAGCAAATAATGAGAAAACGCCAGTGTCAGAATTGAAGGTTGACTACGCGAAACGCAGCAACTACTTGCTCTCAATATCGAATGCAAAGACCGATTTCGCCTTCGTTCGGTCTTCTCAAGTGAAAGAAACCGGACCTGGGCGTCGGACTCACGCATACTGTTTGACGACTGACACCTTGTTCATTAAGTCTATCTGTGAGTAACGCGTGCCAAAGAGATTAGAAGTTCTGTATCTGGTTTGAGATCACCCGCTGTGTTTGGACTGCCACGCGCAATCTCCATTGCGATCTCCTTTCATCTCGAATTAGATTTCGATCGTTCGGATTTAAGGGATCGTATCCGAAGTTGACTTGTTTCTTTCGTACTAACTTACATATATTATCTATTATTCCCGGTGGGCTTATTCCTCTCACTTGAGCCTACTCGTTATTGACCTTGATCCAAACTATCTGCCTATCTCACGTGTTCATGACAAGGATGGATCAACTGTCTTTAGCAGTAGAACATTACCAACTATTTGATTAATCCGTACAACCTTCAAAAACCTTGGTGTCAGTGAATTGAAATAGTCAACGCGCTAGCAGCACGTCTACTGATTGCAATAGTAGCTGTATTATGGAACACTGAAAATATTGGCTTGTTGCTGGAAGCGCTGTGATAGACTACCACAGCGTATTGTGTCCGTAGTACAGCTGACAGTGTTGTATGGAGTACCGCCGCATTTGAGTTTCTGCTTTCGGAAACGGGATGCTGTCATGATGCTCATGGATATTGGATTTGAAGAACCATCGCAAGAGAACTCAGTTCCCAGTCATTCTGTAGAAATCGCACCCCTCAACGGCACTATAGTGTCTGTATTATAGAACTAGCAGTCTTTGGGATTTTTTATTGCTGCCAGCAACCACACCACCTTGGTAACTAGTTGGAAAGTGTAAGTGTCAAAAAGGCATGGATTTCTTGAATTTGACCATCCGGATCAGTACACGCCATTCATACAGACGTCCAGTTATCTATGAAAGCTAACGCAGGAATCTGTGCCTTTCACCAAGCTGCATTACTTTTTCCCAGCGCAATTTCCGAGTCATCGGCTGCTTATCTCCCTAAGAAGTAACTAACACTTCGCATCAGATTCCTGAATGAACTCGTCAGCACTGATAATTGAGACAGAAATCATTTCACTCCTTCATGAAATTCCCACTTTGTTCACTGAATTTTACCATTTTCCTAGTTTATGTTATGACTCCAACACATCTCAAAAGAATACTATAATGCATTTGATATTGACCACGCATATAGCGGTATGATTATCTTTCATAGCTTATGATTTCGGATTTTGAATTGGTTTGTCAAGACAACCAAGTATGAGCCCTAGTACTAAACTACCATTTCACATGAATGATATGCTCATCAAATTATGGGGCTTTAATGCCGTTCCAACGACTAAGCAAACAGCATTGATCACGTGACCAGGGATTCGTTTGGTACTTACATACCAAAGCGCTGTTTGCGAACGATCGTAAATCAGACGACTACGGAGCAGGAATGTAACCGGAGACCCAAGCGGGCATTAAAAGCACAAGTGATTAAATTCATGGTGTAGTACTTATAGGATCACTGTAACTGCGCGCTGCACATTTTGTGGTAAGTCAAATAGTTCATAGTTGGTCTAGTATTCTGTTAGATGCGTAAGGTGATCACACGGCCTGCGAATGCTTGAAGTTAGTTTAAGGATGTGTCCTTTGATCGCAAAGCTTAACTCGGACTGGGTCTTAAGTAAATGGGTTTAAATAACCTAAGAGAAGACTTTGTGAGTGACCACCGATGAAAAATGAACTTAGAGGTGATGTTATCATATGTCGGGCCGATTGTAAGCTTGCATACATATTTTCGGCAGTTGAAGGTGTCTAAAACTTTGGTACTCAAGGCAAGGGTGCTAACAACATAATACCTTTGATAAATGCTTCTTGACTGCTTCAGTGGATTGTCTGTTTGCTATACATTCTGTACATTCTATACATTCAGCCTTAAGTCAATTGGTGCAGCGATTGATGAGACTCGTACTGAGTCTGGTTACTTTCCTCACATGAAGTTCATAATTCCTGATTCTTCCAAAGAACTATTGTTCGGTATCGGGAAACAATTAGTTCCTAATCAATGTATCATGTAAGAACAGAATGCAATAGGATAATCGGATTCGGTATGGCTTAATTGAGGAACACTGCATTTTCCGCTTGTCAAAAATTCAGTGTGAAAGTAATACGGTTGAAGTTTGATCCAAACGAGTGCAAAGCAAAGGGTAGAGAGTTAACTGATCCTGTTGTCGTCTGTGTTGCTAAAGAATCGTCGTTTTTGAGAAATTTCCTAAAGGCTTATTTATATATATATATATATATATCCGTAAATTGTGTATTCCTCGACGATGTGAGAAGCTGCTCCCTAAAAGGAACAGATCAGATAATGGTACAACCTTTCCATGACATTACATTATTACTTTTTCAGAAATAAACATGGGCACCATTTCAAATTAGGTAACACAAAGTAATCAGAATCGTTCTGCTATTTTTTCCTGTCATTGTACCGGGATTCTTTACAATTACCTAACAGATCCTTCAGCCGAGAAAAAATGAAATGAAATGAATGGGCTGTAGTCCGAAATATTAGGGTGTATTCCGAAAATTTATTCAGGCACCATCTATACCGTTTTCGAATGCGTTATCTAGGGTCTGTCATGTCCCGAACATATTAATCATGTTCTGGACAGTTAACTGCTTACTAATCTCAAGCTTAAAATTGCAAAGTGTATAGCATGTTCTGATAGCACTTGGAAGTTTGTCCCAAATCGTTAAGTAGTGGGTTAGAAAGAAAAGATCTCAGATTCTCGTAGTAAATTTTGTTACGGGTTGGATATCTACCGTTGCAAGATATGTTAACACCGTTAACACGACTGCGAATTTGACAGTTTATGATTCTGTAAAGAAAACATAGGTTCAGCTTCATTCTCCGAAGCGAAACTGGTTCACATCCAAGTTTGTCACATCGCTTTCTGTATGTAAACTTTGAGAAATATTCATATAGCTTTTTCGTAAAGCGTCTCTGCACCCTCTCAAGAGCGTGCTGTTCATATTTCCGCAGATTAGACTGGACCACCGAACAGTGTTCCATACATGGCAGTACGTATGTTTTGCAAAGCGATATGCGAGATTCCATGAGGTAAAAATGATGGCAGATGTAACCGATGGTCTTCATGGCTTTCGAAACTTGCAAGTCACCGTTGTGTATTCAGTCAGCATGCTTGCCGGCTAGTCTAGACAGACACGTCCACACAACCCCAGACATACACATATAAGCGCATAATTCTCTGCTTCCTTATTGGATCATTCTTATACTTGTGACACTTTAATGTACTCACGTACTTAGACACTTATCAGATTACAGTAGTTCGTTTACCGGAGCGACCTCTTTACTTCGGTTCGTGTATTTGACTTTCCGTACACAACACTGGCGTCGCGGCATACGAACCTACGCCATGGAATTACATCCTCCTAACGTTTACTGATGCGATCCGACCTTACGTCTCACCGAAAGTGTATGGGCCCAGTGGAAAACATCGTTTACAAACTATCTTGACCTACTATCTGCGGCTTCCAAATACACAGAAGGCCAGAAACTGAAGCTTCTCAGACACCTACTCGGCGATGATGGACAACGTCAGTTTGATGATTTGGAACTCTAGTTTCAAGATACCTTAACGAAAGCACTAGATGTGCTGGACACATCACGGGGCCAGCGTACATACCTCTTCATGGCTCACCTCAAATTCGGTCGACATACACAGGAACCATCGGAAACTCTAGACAGTTTTTTGATCACCTCATTTGCGGTATGTGAGGATCCAACCATACCGAAAAATAGAATCGAAGGCGTTATGCTAGTGCAGCAGTTGATTAGTGGAATCACCAACAACCGAATTCGGGAATGTCTACTTTCTGAAGACGCTTCCAAATTGACTTGGGATAAGGCTGTGGAATTAGCTCGCCTCAAAACATGTACGGCCGAACAGTTGCAATGTTTCGCTACCCGTGCAGACATACAGGAGGTCGCCATGATCCATCGTTTGTCAACCGAATTCCAATCCCCACAGAAATGCTTCCGCTGCGGTAGCCTACAGTATAAAGCCAATTTTACCAATTGCCCTGCCTTAGAAATGGATTGCAAAAAGTGCAGTAAGCGTGGACATTTTGCCCGTTGTTGTCGTTTAGTACGCGTTTCTCAGTTGCATCCTACAGATTCCGTTTTTAATCAGCAGTTACAGTCATCTAAAAATGTTTTTTTTAATTTATACTAGAGGTACTGCGTCTATCTATCGTTCCACTTGTCCAGAGCCTGAACTCCCTATGCCTGACATTCGTACTTGTTACAGTTATTGCACGCGACAGAACAACACATATTGACCTAGAACGTGATTCAGCCTCTCTTATCACTGGAGTACCGAATAGCTTTTATGACAGTCACCTACATGATATGCTTATACATCCTTCAACCTATCAATTTGACAATTATACAAAGGCCCGGTATAAATACGAGGATTTGTGGTGATTTTTGCAACTTGGGGCCGTGAAAGCATCCATTGCTGTGTACGTCACCT